TCCTCCTCCTCCTCCACCCCCTCCCCATCCCCTGCTTTCTTGGCATCTTTGTTTTTGCAAACTTGTAATAATGATCAATCTCCATGTGGTTTGCTTCTTCTTTCCTATCAAACATCTATCGTCCTTATCTCTCCTCCTTCTTTTTTGTGTTTGTTACTCTCTTTTAACACTTCTGATCTTCGGCCTTTATATCATATGACCTTATTGTTTCGCAAGCACAGTAAAATTTCTACTAAAATTGAACTCTAATTTTCGGCAGGTATATTATATGGCCTTATTGTGCCGCAAGTACCGTAAAACTCTTACTAAAAATAAACTGTAGTTTTCGGCACTTATATTATATGACCTTATTGTGTTTTGCTAGTACCACAAAACTCTTACCAAAACAACCCCCCACCTCTCTCCCCCTCCCCTCCCCCCCCTCTCTCTCTCTGTCCTGTGGGTGATGACGTGTCAGGTTGTGGTCTTGTGGCACTGTGACGTCCCCCCGCCCCCCTCACACCGCTGGCCGGCTGACCTGGGGGTACCTGTCAGGGTCAAGGTCAGGGACATCAAGGTGAGTCATATCTCAGTCCATCTATTTATTCTTTATTGTTTTCTTTCTCTCTCTCTTTTTTTTCTTCCTTTTTGTCTTTTTTGTGGTTTTATTCATTTATTTAATTTTAAAATCTTTTGAAAAACTTGGTAGATTATATTATTTCTTTTCATTTCTTTCCTATTCTTGTCTTTCTTTTTTTTCTGTTCTTTCCTTTTCTTTCTCTTTTCTTCTTTTTTTCTTTTTTTTACTTTTCTTTTCCTTTCTTTTTTTCTTCCCCCCCCCTGTAGATATTTGTTCCTTGCACCCCAGTGGACACAATAGATCTTCTCTTTTTTTCCCTTTCCCCTCTGTTCTTGCCATTGTTTTCCTTCTTTCTTTCCCCAACAGCTTTATGATCATTACATATCGATCTGTCTGTCTGTCTGTCCGTCTGTCCGTCCGTCCGTCTGTCTGTCTGTATTACTGACTTTTTGTTTGTTTGTTTGTTTGTTTGTTTTGTTTTTGCTTTTCCGAACAAAAGTACTGTTATTGTGTCGTTGACATGTTGGCCTTCTTCTAATTACTTGGACTTAGAATGTGCTTTTTGAATGAAGCTCAACCTTATTTTTTTCCTCCCCTTCCCCTCCCATCCTCTTCCCCCTATCCCCTCCCCCTCCCTCCCCCTCTCCCCTACCTCACTCCCCTCCCTCCCCACTCCCCCTATCCTCTCCCATGCACACAGTCTGTGAATGCCCGGTTCTTCCCCTATGCTGAGATAGAGACAGATGCGGTGTTCAACCTGGATGAAGATGTCATACTCACTACAGACGAGGTACAGACTTTTATTTGTGTCACCTCGTGGGGGAATCAGGCGCTTATCTATTTTTGGGCTTTTGGAGTTAATGGTATTATCCTTACCACTTTTCCATCAATTGGGTCTGAATAGGTTTTTTTCGGTCTGTCAGTTGGATTTTTTAAAGTGATAAGTTGTTTAGCCTTTTACATTGTGACATCGCACGCCGATAAACTATATGAAATAAAACCCAAACTAGAATAGCGAAATCCTTCGGACCTCTCCAGAAGAGACGAAGTCATTTTTACTCAATTGCGCATCTAACACACGGCCCTG